CTCTTCACTGTGTCTTTCATTTTTCTTGCCATCATTGTCAGAAATTCAGGGAAGTCAATTATGCCATTACCATCTGCATCTACTTCATTAATCATGTCCTATAGCTCTGCTTCTGTGGAGTTCTGCCCAAGAGACCTCATCACAGTCCCCAGTTCCTTTGTTGTTATAGTCCCATCACCATCCTTATCAAATAGTGAAAAGGCTTCTTTGAATTCTGCAATCTGCTCTTCAGTCAGTTGGTCAGCCATGCTGCAAGGGCTACTGGTTTCCGAGACGTGAACACACAACCGCTCGGCCCGCCCCCTCCACTCGGACTCACCAGTTCTTTTTTTAACCAATGAGAGTATACAGAAGGATTATTCCACAGCATTCAACATCTAATTTTTTTGATCTCTTTACATATTTTGAATATTTGGCCTCTATTGGATGTGGAGTTGTTAAAAATCTTTCTGCATTCCTTAGGCTGCCTCTTTGATTGACTGTCCTTTGCTTTACAGTTTTATGAGGTCCCATTTATTTATTGTTGATCTTAGTGCCTACACTTTTGGTGTTCTGTTCAGGATGTTGTCTCCCGTGCCAGTACATTCGAGGCTTTTTCAAACTTTGTCTTTTATCAATTTCAGTGTGTGTGGTTTTATGTCGAGATCTTTGACCCACTTGGACTTGAGTCTTGTGCAGGGTGATGAGTGTGGATCTGTTTGACTTATACATGCAGAAATTCAGTTCAATAGGCACCATTTGTTGAAGTTATTTTTTTTCCATTTTGTATTTCTGAATTTCCTTATCAGAAATCAGGTGTCCATATGTGTTTTTGGATTTATGTCTGGGTCTTTAATTCAGTCCCACTATTTTACTTCCAGTGCCAGGCAGTTCTTTTATTGTTCAGGATTGCTTTAGCTATCCTGTTTTTGTTTTGTTGTTATGAAGCTGCAAACTGTCCTTTCAAGGACTTTAAAGAATTATATTGGAATTCTGATGGGGATTATACTGAACCTCTAGATTGCTGTTAGTAGGATAGACTTTTCACTGTGTTTATCCTAATGAGCCGTGAGCACGGGAGATCTTTCCATCTCCTGATATCTTCTTTAGTTTCTTTCTTCAAATGCTTGAAGTTTTTATCACACAAGTATTTCACTTGTTTTGTTAGAGTTACTCAAACATATTTTTTATTATTTGAGGCGATTGTGGAAAGCATTGTTTCCCTTATTTCTTTCTCAGTCTGTTTGTCATTTTTATATAGGGGGCTACTGGGTTTTTGTTGTTGTTGTTACTTTTGTATCCAGCCACTTTGCTGAAAGTGTTTATCAGCTGTTGAATTTTTAGGGTCACTTGTATATACTATCATATAATCTACAAATAAAAATCCTTTGGCTTCTTCCTTTCCAAATTATAGCCCACTAATATATTACAATTGTTTTACTGGTCTAACTAGAACTTCAAGTACTATATTGTGAGAGCTCACAACCTTGTCTTGTTCCAGATTTCAGTGGAATTATTTTGAGTTTCTCTCCATTTAATTTGTTGTTGGCTATATGCTTGCTATAAATTTATTTTATTATGTTTATGTGTGTACCGTATATCCCTAATCCCTCCAAGGCATTTATCATGTGTGATTTTGTCAAAGACCTTTTCAGCATCTAATGGAATGATACTGCTTTTTTTTTTTCAGTTTATTTTTATGGTAGATTACTTTTACTGATTTTTGTATTGCTTTTGTAATACAATTTTGTAAATCAGTTTAGATGATCTTTTTCATGTGTTCTTGGAATCTGTTTGCAAGTATTTTATTATATATTTGTGCAAATGTTCATGAGGGAAATTGGTCTTTATATTTACCACAACTTTGGAAATCTGTGCTGAATTAGGTTAATGATCTCAAGGTCATCAAGCAGAGGGGCTATGAACCATTGAATACCTGAAATTGGAATCCCCAGAGTTTCTTCACCTTGTTGCAATCTCCAGATTGTTAAAGGCCAGTCCAGAACCCCAGATTTCCATTGTCCCCCATCTCAGGTTTGATGTATCTGATGTAGCAGCATCTGTTCTAATTTATCTATGATCATTTAACAAGAGCCTTAATTTATGTGTAGCTGTGTAATTCTGGCATCATGAAATGAAATTGATAATGTTTCTTCTGTTTCTATTTCATGGAATAACTGGAATAGTATTGGTTTCAACTCTTCTTTGAATGTCTGGTAAAATTCTGTGCTAAAACCATCTGACCCTCAGCTTTTTTTTTGTTGGGAGACTTGTAATGACTTGTTTTATTTTACTATATTTCCTTTATTTATTTATGTTGAGACAGGGTTTCTCTGTGGCTTTTGGAGGCTATCCTCCAAAATGATCTCAAGCTCTTGTAGACCAGGCTGGTCTCGAACTCATGGAGAGCCACCTGCCTCTGCCTCCCAAGTGCTGGGATTAAAGGTGTGTGCCACCAATGCCCGGCTATATTTCCTATATTTATATTTACTATATTTGGTTATATTTTCATTTAAATTGTTTATGTGATGTTGATTGAACTTTGGTAAGTGGTACCTACTAAGAAAATTATCCATTCCAATTTGGTGGAATATAGGTTTTTAAAGTATTTCCTTACGATTCTCCAGCTTTCCTCATTGTATGTTGTTATGTCCCCCAATTAGGATATTCTCTCTGTGTCTCTTAGTTTGGATAAGGGTTTGTCTGTCTTGTTTATTTTCTCAAAGAACCAAAGCTGTGTTTCATTGATTCTTTGTATTTCTTTTTTGTTTCTATTTGTTAATATTAGCCCTCTATTTGGTAATTTTTTCCTGTCTACTCTTCTTAGGTATGCTTACTTCTTTTTGTTCTAGAACTTTCATGTGTGATGTTAAGTTGCTAGTATGAGATCTCTTCATTTTCCAACTTCCCCTTTTTAATTGTAAGCTCTCAGTGCTATGAAGTTTCCTCATGTCACCACTTTTGTTGTGTTCCCCAAGTTTGGATATGTTGTATATTCATTTTCATTGAATTCTAGAAAGTCTTTAATTTCCTTCTTTATTTCTGTCTTGATCCATTTTCTTCATTGGAGAGTTGTTTGGTTTACATGATTTTGTAAGCTTTCTTTTTTCTGAGTTTTTTTGTTTTTTTGGGGGGGGGGAGGTTGTTTGTTTGTTTTGGTTTTGATTTTTTGTTTTTTTTTTTTTGGATATCCAACTGTAATCTGTGGTGGTCTGATAGGGTACAGGGAGTTATTTCAATTTACTTGTATCTATTGACAATTGTATTGTGTCCAAGTATGTCATCAACTTTGAAAAACATTCCATGTGGTGCTGAGGAGTTGTATTCTTTTTTTAAGGGTGGAATGTTATGTAGTATCTGTTAGGATCATTTGTTTTATGAAGTTCATTATCTATAATATTTCTCTGTTTACTTTTTGTATGGATGATCTGTCTATTGTTAAGCGTGGGGTATTGAAGTCTACCACTATTGAACACTGTGTGAGAGTCAATGTGTGATTTAATCTGTAGAAGTGTTTCTTTTACAAAAGTGGGAGACCTTGTATTTGTGGCATAGATACTTGTTTTTATTTTCTTGAATCCATTTAAGAGATTTCTTTTTAAGAGCTTCTGTCATGTCCATATAGTTTGTTTTAAGGTCTTTTTCTTGTATTTCAACTATGTTAGAATACTCAGGGCCTGCTGTGGTAGATAGTAACTTAGTTGGGCTCTTGTAACATATTGCCCTGGCTATTGTTGTTTATGTTCTTATGCTTGGCATCTGGGTTTGGAGTGATTATGGGTCAAGGTCCTTTTTTCTGACTTCATCTTTGTTTGGTGGACATTTTGTTCCTGGGTTTCTGTTTTGTTCTCTGAAGTTTCAGAGCACATATTGACTGAGTGTTGTCCTTTTTTCCTGGCCTTCTTGGCCAATGTGTTTGAGGGAGAGTGCTTGCTATTGTGGAAACTAAGGGAAGGGGAGGACGGGGAAAGACACACTTAGGTGTCCACGGAGGCATGGAGAGTGGGGAGGAGAAGCCCAGAGTCAGACACAGGGGAAAATGGTGAGAGATCAGAGAGAAATAGGAGCAAGCCAGAGCCACCCTTACCTCACTAGCTTCCCAGTGGAAAAGAGAGAAAGTTCCCATTTCCTCCCACCTAGATTCCTTTCTCCACCCAGCCATCTCACTTTCTGTCTTTACAGACCTCCAGACCTCCATGGTTAGCTAGTGGCAAGCTCTTCAGATACACTTTATTTGTACAAAAAAGATAACCACCACATGGGCCCACTTATATGCAAGACTGGCAAGAGCTCTTCAATTCTGAACCATCTCTCCTGCCCTGTGTTGATTACTTATGATCATTATTAACATTGATAACATTTTCATCTCTCTGTAACTGTTTAAATGTGTAGTTCCTTTTAGTCAGATTTATTAAAGTTACAGTTTAAATGATCGTACTTCATGGTTTCTGGAAGATGAATACAGAACTGAAGTGAATGCATAACTCTATGTAGGAACTTAAGTAAAAAAACCTTTGAGTTCTTCCTATCTTTTTTGTTTGGTTGATTCATTTTTTTCAGGGGTTCTTAATATTTCCATCTTGCAGTCCTGGAACTGATTACATATACTAGGCTAGCTTTCAACTCAGAGGTAGATATACCTGCCTCTGCTTTCTGAGAGCTGGAATTAAAGGCATGAGCCAATACATCAACTTGCTCATATTTCTTTGTAGTTAGTAATTGTTCATACAATTTCTCTGATATATACTCAGCACTGTTGATCTATTTGCTGTCTCCCTCTGTCTGTTAATAGACATTTCTCTTGCAAGGTGATATCCCATTCCAAGTATTCAGAAATGATAGAGGTAAACCTCCTATTCAGTTTCCTTCTAAAGTGACTTGATGATTATATGATAATGTCTGTGTCATATAATAATTGTCGGAAGCACCAGAATCATATGACTATATTGTCAAAGAAGTATACATTTACAATGTTGTCAGTATCATGCTTTTTGTTGTATACATGTATGTCATATTTTTAGGATGCAGTGACCTATAATGATGTGCATGTTGACTTCACTCGGGAAGAGTGGGCTTTGCTGGATCCTTCCCAGAAGAATCTCTACAAAGATG